GCGGGCGCAGCGTGGAGCCGCGTGGAGGCGTTGGGCTAACGACGGCATCGCGGCGCTCAACCAGCTGAGCGGCCACGGCGCAGGTGCGGCGGCGCCGCCAGGGCTGACGTCATCAGCTGCCCAGGCGAGCGCGCTGGACCACATCAGCCAGGCCTTTCGCGATTTTCTTGTGCCTCCTGACTATCGTGAGGACCGAGTTTCAGGCGAAGCAGCCCTTGCAGAGCTGCTCGCTTCGGCGCCTGGGTATTCCGCGGAGTCTCAGCGCGTCAAGCCCTACAGCAAGGACCTGGTGTCCTGGCCCGACATGTCTACCGCACCTGTGGAGGTTACAGAGTTGGTGGATCAGGCCGATCGTGAATGCTTGTTGGGATGGAGACGGACCGTGCTCAAAGGTGAGATGTCGGCCTCTGATTCCCAAGATGCGCCAGCCCCGCGGCGCCCGTACGTGGACCCGATTTTGGCCAACAACCCTCGCGCCTACGCTGGTGTCGTTGGGAAGTTGCTTCAGGGTGGCATGATTAGCTTCCGCGTGGCGCGTGCTGCTGATCCTTATAGTTTGGGATTTTTCTTTGTTGAGAAGGTGGGTAAGGGCACGTTGAGACTCGTGTTCGACACAAGAGTGGCGAACGAGGATTTCGAACCCCCGCCCAAGACGACGCTTCCGACGGCTGCTGCTTGGTCCGCCTTGGAGTCGCAGCGTCCCGTCGTTCTAGCGCAGGGTGACATCCAATGTGCATTATATCACATGCTGGTGCCAAAAGGGATGGAGGAATGCTTCACGTTGCCCACTATTTCATATCAGTTGTTGGGGATTACTCACGTCGACGGATTGCCAGTGGCTAGCGACTGCTATCTTCAGCCCATGGCGCGCGCGTCACCGATGGGATGGAGTTGGTCGCTTCTGTTTTGTCAGAGCATCGTGCGCAGGGCTCTAGTGGAGAACGGGTTCAGTGACGGATCGTTGATCGAGGACGGCCGCCCCAGTCCTGTGCTGCACTCGCCTGTGAGTTTAGCTGCTGCTGGATACGTTGATAATTTTGCAGTCGCGGGTTGCGATGCAAACATTGTGACGGCAAAGAGAGATCAGATTACGCGGACGCTTGAATCGTGGGGGTTACCTATTCACTCCATCGATGCGGCTTCGCCGAAGACTGTCTTCATTGGTCTCGAGATCGACGGTGAAAAAGGCACTGTGC